GGGGGGGGGGGGGGGGGGGGGGGGGGGGGGGGGGGGGGGGGGGGGGGGGGTGGTTTCCTCTCCGCACTGATGGACACCACATGGATGGATGCGCAATGCCAATGCGTAAACAAACCCACCACTCTTTATAGTCTTTCTGATACATATTCATAAGATGGGTGTGGTTTAGTCCGCACAAGCACAGTGGAGTTTCTCAAATCTTCTCTGATTTTTCGGTGTTGTTGAGAGGGGGAGGTTCTCTGTTGTTTTTCCACTCCTTTTCATGCCAAAACAAGAGTCCTTCTGGGAGGTGCTTTTCAGTACTTTTCCGCATGCACAATCCGGTGCTGCTAGGGACTTCTGACAGGGGTTTCTCCAGTATTTTTCCACATTCACTATAACAGTCTATATGAATCTGTGCTTACTTAAGGGAAAAAAACCTCCAAACCATTTTAGCAATAAAACCACGATAAATCTCTTTTAACTTAGTACATAGTAAAACACCAGCAGCACCCATGCTCCTCATATTAAAGTCATTCTATTTTTAACATGAATCACCACCGTATTCTTTACAGGTGGTTGAGGGCAGAAGCAAGCAGTTTTCTTTCACAGTGGTCGCTCTGTCCAGAGCGTGCGCTGTGCAGTAAAGCCCAGGTGCCTCCTTCCTAAATCAGCAGAATCACTCTCCCTGTAACAGGGTCTCTGTGTTCAAGCCCGCCCTTACCTTAGTTTTCCCATTCTAGGGGTTGCCCACGTGCCCACTGAAGGCCTTGAGTCTGCTCTCAGTGGTTTCCATTGGGAGCCTGACAAGCGTTTCAATCTTACCTAAACGGACAAAGGGACCTCAGGAAACAGTTGAGGAGTCAGGAGTCCTTGAGAAACAAACGAAGTAAAGCACATGCAAAGCTTTCACACATCACAGTTTAGTCTTAATAATTGTCAGAAATTCATTTGTTTGAGCCCTTTCATTCCCTTTCATTCCCCCTTTTTCTTTTGAGGGTATAGTGCTTATAGCTCTATCCCTCATTTAAACGAATTTGCTATCTTGTGAATAGCAGTTACCACATTGAATTGATAAACAAGTTACTACAATCACCACAGCTATCCCTATAATCAATACAAGTAATTGTTTTAACCATCTCACATTTGGCAACCATAAACTAAGCTTGTCCCATATTTCTTCAGAGCTTAAGGAAGTATCATCCTTTTGTATCTCTTGCAAAATAATTAATTGATGCTTTATTATTCCTAAATCTACATTTATTTTTCCTGTTTCATCTATGTATGTACAAGTAGAATTCACAACTGTGCATACTCCCCCATGTGAGGCCAACATCATGTCTAGAGCCATTCTATTTTGAAGGGTGACTTCAGAAATTTCAGTAACCTACCTTTGTACTGTTTCTGTTGCATCATTTGTAGCATTTCCAATTTCTTCCATCACACTAGAGATGTTTACTATAGCCTCTTCTAGTTCACTGACCCCCAGACAAGGAATAAACCATCTCACAAGAGTGAAAGGCCATAGCCTGTATTACCAAAGGGTTTGGGATATTTCTTTTTTGTCTCCCTATGGGCAGTCTCACCCAACCTGCTCCACGTAATTGAGGCATTAATTTGTGGAAGAACTACTCCTAATTTATATGATCCAGTCCACCAAGGGGGTAGTGATTTTCTGACAGTATTTCCACACAGCCAATACCACCCCTTTCCTTTAGGAACATCCCAATATTTTCCCCTATACCTTTGTACTTCTTTCATAGCTGAAGTTGGAAGTACCAATCACACTGGAAATAATTTCCCACTGAGAAGTTACCCAGAAGTGTAGTTTTCTGATCTGTTACATATTTAACTTTCTCTTTCAATTTAGGAACTTTTATGTCCCAAACTTGTGGGTTCTCATTCTGTTCCTTAAATTGAGTTTTGGGGTTGTTCCAGAGATTGTTCCAGGTGGTACTGAAGGGAACTGGAAGGCCAATCAATGAGAGTTTGCAATGATGTTGTAATGCCTTGGAAATCTAGTACATACAAATGATTCGCTCACATTTATTGCTAGTGCTATTCTTCTTACCAATTGCACACGAGTGTTATTATCCCGCTGGTTTCCCAAGCTTTGTGAGGTACCCCTCTGATATATGACCAGCTGTATCCACAAAATAGTTACAGTCTTTTGAGTCAGAGTTTTAGAGGGGCCTCTTGCTGGGACACCCATGATGCTGGAGCTTTCTTGACTTGCAAATAGTGAATCCACGTGGCTCTTTCATCTTCATTGCAGTAAAAGTCATCAACAGCACCTGGAATGGTCCATTCCATTTTTCTTCCAGTGACCGACCTGAAAAGATCTTAACATATACCCAATCTCCAGGATTGAAAGGATGAATTGACTGATCTAGACCTCTGACCCTAGTCCCCAGAATTACCTTATTAATTTTACTCAATTGTCTCTTCAGTGATACCATATATTGGTATAAATGGTTCTCTCCTAATTGGTTCAAGTCTTCCCCTTTAAAATGAAATTGATAAGGTCTGCCACATAAAATTTCAAAGAGATTTTCTGAGATTTTCTTTAGATCTGGGCTTATTCTTAACAGAGCGAGGGGAAGAGCTTGATACCAATATAGATTTGCTTCTTGACAAACTTTTGCTATTTGTTGTTCAATCAAGAGATTCATCTTCTCAACCTGTCCACTACCTTGAGGATGATACAGCATGTGTAATTGCCAATCTATACCCAATATTTTACTGATTTGCTGTATCACTTGTGCACAAAAATGAGTACCTCTATCTGATGAAATCACTGTTGGCACCCCAAACCGGGGAATTATTTCATTCAATTACACTTTGGTAACCTCTCTTGCCTTATTAGTTCTGCATAGGA